CAATAAAGAAACAATCGAAGTAGACAGTAATATTAATACGATGATACTAAAAGAAGCTGAAAAAACTACCCCTGGTGCAATATCTTTCGAAGAAGGGAACAAAATATATAATAACAAAATAAAAGTACAAGAAAGGCTTAAAAGGAAGAATGAGAATTGTCTTCATACCTTCATGAAGATATGAATCGGCACATCTCTGATAGAAAAATAGGGGATGGAAGTGAGGGGGGCATTCCTAGGAGGATGTGAAAAGTTAAGACTCCATTTGGATCTGAACGCCAATCGTAATTTTTCTTGGCCAAAAATGTAATAAGCTTAATATGTTCTAAGCTATTGTTTTAATTATGTACTCTTGTAGAAAACAAGCCCAAGAAAACCAAACTCCAACTCTTTGAAATTGTTCAAAAACAACAAAGGGGAAAAGAAACACACTGTGTGTGAGTACAGTACGATTGCACCCCTAACGTCTTCACTGGGGTGCACAGTGCACACAGCTTCTTCGACGTCTGAAGCCATAATTAATCTTCAGTCCGGAAAAAAGGGGGTTACAAGGAGATTATACAGATTTAATTGTCCAGTTTCACCGTGGGTTTCTTACGGTAGCCCACAAAACAACAAGGGTCGTTTTGCGTCGTCTTCTTGGACGTCTGTTGAAGATACTTCAATTTTCCAACTTTTTAGAAGTTTTTGCCAGGTTTAAACACTGAAGACAGAATTCAAATTTAGTTATAATAACATACAAAAACCAATGGAATGGAAGGGTCTGTAACATCCAGAACTGTTCACCGTTCTCTTTTTCAAGATCGAGAGATCTAGTTGTTGCAGTTGTTGTTTTCGATTTCTTATGTAATTGCTTATGTAAGGCTTAGCTGTGCAAAGATTATACAACTCTGAAGTAGCTCAACTTTTTGTTTCTGTTGTGTCGCCAGTGTTTTGTTGTCTGTGTGTATTTTCGCGGCGGTTAGCGGGTTCCTTCGGCAGCGTGATATGCACCAGCGCCGGTCGGTGATAAAACAAGTCTCGCTACCCTAGGATTACAAAGTTTTGTCTGCTCAGCCAGTATCCGCAGTTTTGAGAAATATGACGTTAAAATGTGTGAGTTTCACAATATGCCATTTTTTTTCGAACTCAGTTCTTTGAATATCTTGATAACCACTTCGAACAATCTTAAGATTTTGATAGGGCAGATAGAACGTTTTGTTTCTTAACTCCTGATCTTAGTTTCTCAAAACGGCCAAAGTCAGGTAGAACTTGTAACTTCAAGGCAGCGAAGTGGCAGCACGGCCATTGGGCAATACGTTCTTAGTTGTTTGTTTGTTTGTTGTTGTTTTTTTAGTTTTTGTAAGATTTTTTTAATGGCACTTGCAACACAAAAAGGTCGTACAAGTGCCAAAGATTACAGGTGTAACAAAAGAACAATAAACCGAAAAAAAGGACGACAGATGTTTGATAGGAAAGAAGGAGCAGACGGCACTAGAACACTCGCCAACCATCTGTATTCGTTTATGGACGATCTCCTGAGTTCTGAGCAGGGGAACGATTATAGTGTCTGTGAGTCAGTACTGGTTATTATTTCTTTTTCTTTTGGTAAGTGATTTACAGCTCTCGCAACTGCATAAGGTCATAGGAGCGCCGACACATTAAACATTTTCAGTTGGTAAGAAATTTGGAATATTGCCCGGGAGGGAGCCGAAGCCTACTCTTATCGATTTTGGACCACCAAGGGATCTTTAACGAGCGCAACTTGCACACAGGACCGCCGTGATTTTCCGCCTTTGTCTGAGAAGGTTAGGTCCTGTGTAGATCCTTCCTGCCTGAAGATCAGGGGTGTGGCTGAAAAACAGCTGGAAGAAGGAGACAAGGAGTAGCAGTAGAAAGGCTGCAGAAAGAGTCATAGGAGCCCAGGGTAGGAGCACATGAGGTGAGGGGGTGGGGGCAGAAAATGGGCACGAAAGCAGACGACAGAACATTGCTAGAGAGCAGGAAATGAGATGAAAGGAGACCATTTTTAGACAAAAAAATTCCGTTGCTATCCGGATTCGAACCCTGGACCTATTGAATGAGAGGCCAACACCTTAACCTTTAGTCCACGAGTCCTATTCAGTCTTAGGGTCCCTTTAAACGTACAGTTCATTCATCGATAAACTGATAGTTTGACAGACGGATGCTAGATCTGGGTCATCGTTAAACGGACAGTTTGCCGACGAGAGAATTTCCTTAGATGGACAGTTTTTTAAATCGTTAAAGTGTCAGTCCTTGACAAAACACACCAAAACAAAAATCAACTTGGTAATTCGGCACTACATTGTGTTCCCCGCGTGATTTTGACCAATCTTGGGTCGCTGATCACGAAAATCTGATTATCTTTTTTTTTCATTTGACCAATATCTAGGAAAATTTTGGAATACATTTTTAACTCCTCCTGGGGCAACATCAAAGAAGCCGCTACCCGTAACCTCGTCGTCATGCCTTCTGTTCGCCGGCCGGCAAATATCTGGCGTCGCCAGATATCTGGTGGTAGGACTGAGAACCTGAGAACCCTTCGATATCGAGAAGATTGCTCGTTTTCAAACTTAGTCTTAGTTTTACCGGGAAGTTGATAGGATGCCGGCCTTTCTTTCGATATCCTACAGTAGTCTTACAGTTCGTCGATCAATGGAATGTACGTGTAAATGGGGCCTTAACGTGGATGCTGGCAAGGAAGGGCGTAAAAATCAATTTGCTTGTTTTCAACTTCAGTAATAGTTTTACGACACTAGCAGTACGATAAAGTATAAATGCCGAAGATTTGAGGTCGATAAAATAACAAACGCAAAAAAAGGAGATATAAAGGACAATAGAAGTTTTGTATGGAAGCAAGAGCAAAACACACCAGAGCACCCAACAACCACCGACTATGCATGTTTCATCATAACCTATTGTTAACCCAAAATAAGAACCACCGTTTCAAAGTCATAAATGAAAGATTTGGAGACTGTGCAGCGTAGGTAAACAACGGCCGGTATTACAAAGAGGCTTTCAGTTACTGCATGTATACAGTAATATTTATCTTTCAAGTTTGCCTCCCCCCC